GATCCCCGGTACCAAAAAAAAAAGACAGATTTAAAAAAATTAAATGTCACCAAGTAGGAAAAATATCTTTAATACATGCATTTGATAAGACTTACACTTTGAATAAAGAAATCTTGAAATTCCATAATAAGAAAAAAGTAAGTTGAAAAGGGGAAAGTAATCGAACAGACATTTCTCTAAAAAGGAGCAAGTCATTATGGAAACAGAAATTAATCCCATTACACACCGGGCTGCACCCGGGACACTGACTGCAGGGCTTAGACTCAATGCTGATGGACACGTGGAGCAGCCAGCGGGACTGATGCGCTCGGTGAGAAAAGGAGAGAAAAAGCCACTGCTGCTTAAACGGAGCCACCTGTGGATCAGGAAACTGAAAGAGGGCTGGTCATTTTTTTAATTGCTAAAAATCTTAAACTTACTTCATACTCACTTCAGGAAGCCTGAGCATCCCATAAAAGAAACTGATTAGGAGCTGTATGCTTGACAGGGGCAGGAATCAGCATAGGAACCGACAGTAACAGGGTGTGGTGGCACAAGCCTATATAACTCCAGTACTCAGGAGGCTGAGGCAGGAGGATCTAAAGTTAGAGGCCAATCTGGGCAATTTATCGAGTTCCTGTCTCAAAATTTAAAATTAAAAAAGGCCTGGGGATGTGCTCATCAGTAGAGGCCCTGGGTTCCAGTCCCAGCACTAGGGAAAAGAGAAAGCAGATAAGCCATGTCTGTACCAGTGCTGGGGCTGTCTACTCAGCATCACCCCATTCCAAGAAGAAGTATCAGAGCGACACAACCACATGGAGCAAGAAGCGCTGCTGCTGCCACCGCTGCCGCTGCCGAGAACTCAGTCACATTCCCATGCCCAGACAACAGGAGGGTCGCCATCCGTTACCTGTCAGAAGACTGTGGGTGGGTGGGGCTGCTCCTCCTCACGCTGACCCCTCACAGCGGTCCCTCGGTCTACATGAAAGCTCTGTGCGCAGAGAGCCGGGGACCAACATGCAAGTGCACGTGTTAAAACCTCCACTCGACACGCTGAGGGCCGGCCGCACTTTAAACCTTTTGGGGTCGCTACAGGCCCTGCAGGTACTAGTAGAAGAGAAACTCCCAAACCACTTCCATATCAGGCCATTCTAATTTTGATGAAATGGGCAAATTTCTTGACAGAAAAAACAATGAAAGCTGACTTAATAAAGAAACGTAACAGATGGGTGACACTCTATGTATTAAATGAACTGAACTCAGTTCCTTCCTGGCAAGAAAATGGCAGCTTGGGACTGCTGGTGAATCGGTCCTACCTAACCCTGAAGGAGGCAGTGAGGCAAACCTACACACACTCAGGAAAGAAGGGAGCACCTATAATTCCTAACTTACTCCACCACTGCCCTGATGCCAAAATCAGACAAAGAAATTACATACAAGTAAGAAAAATACAGAACAACATTCTTCATGATGACTGACATGAAAATCTCTAATGAAATACTACCAGACTGAACCTAGCAATCTTTTAAAAAAACGAAACAGGATAACTCATCATAATCAAGTAGGGCTCACTACAGGAATAGAAGCCTGGTCTAACGTTTTAAAAATCAGTAGGGGGGGGGAAATCAGTAGGGGGCCAGGGATTTAACTCAGTGGTGTCGCCGCCTGCCTCGCAAGTACAAGGTCTGGAGTTCAATCACTGGTACCAAAAAAATAAAAATTAAAAAAAAAAAAATTCAGTAGGGCCAGGCGTGGTGGCACATGCCTGAAATCCCAGCAGTCGGGAGGCTGAGCCAAGAGGATGCCAGGAGTTTGAGGCCAGCCTGGGCTACATAGCAAGTTCAAGGCCAGCCTGAATTACAAAGCAAGGCCCTGCCTCAAAAAAAAGTAAGCATGAAAAAAACAAAGCTGGGTGTGGTGGTAGATGTCTATAATACCAGCACTCTGGACAGTGGAGGCAGGGGGTGTCAGTTTGCGCTTAGCCTGGCAGCTTAACAACTGAAAATAAAACATATTTACAAAAGGGCCACGGATGTAGCTCAGTGCCAAGGCTCTGGGTTCAATCCCCAGTTTCATGTGCACACACACGCATACGGGTGCACACACACATAGGAAAACAAACAAACAAATAAATAAAACCACCAGTTAATCACCCTGGTCATCCCAAGCCCCCCAGTGACTGGGGTTTTCCAGCGCCCACTGCAGACTTGGAAAGCTGGGCCTGTCTTTAGGGTCTTGTTTGGTTTTGTCTCACTTTGGTATTTTCTCTTTTCCCCACCAACAAATTAGATTCCTGTTTTTTCTTTGAAAAGTAGATTTATTCCCAAGCATGAGGGACCATATCAAAACAAAAACCAAAGAACTGAAAATGCTGCCAAGTGTGGACAGGGCCCAGCAGAGCAACCCTGCGAACACCTCCATCACACACGTTACAAGTTTGGAACCAGTCGGTTTCAAAACCCCTTGTGTCACGCATGACCCACAGTGAAAGCATTACTGATGAAGCTATCTCTAGACTCTGCAGTACTAAGGAGCGGGACTCCAGAAAGCTTTCGTAAACACTGTGACACTAGGTAAGTTTTGGAGTTCGCAGATCTCTGCCACAGTTCTCTTGATAACCCAAAACCAGGGCCCACCTCGGTGTCTGGAAGCAGCGCTGAGCACACAGCTCAAGGTGACAGCAATGTTCCCAGCGTGCACTTGCTACAAATGTAAGTATTCACAGGCATCAAAATACACTTTTTTTTTTTGTACCAGGGATTGAACTCGGGTCCTTGTGCTTTCAAGGCAGGCAGCGGAACCACTGAGCTAAATTCCCAGCCCAAAACTACACTTTTTTATCTGAGGGCTAGTGAATAGCAAACTAACGACTACATTCCACTTTCAAGAACCATGATTAGAACAGCAAACATGCTGCCATCTACATAACCTTCATAGTCACAGCATTCATGGGTTTCAGGTTTGTTAAAGGGGGCAGACAATACTCACTGGGAAGTAAGACTCTACAGAAACCCTAATGACAGCAACAGCCTGCAAGAGCCAGGCTAGGCTGTTCACGGCCAAGGGCCGCAGAACTCAGGCTCAGCTCAGCCCCAGGGTGCGCTCCGGCTGGCAGAGGGAGAAACATTCACTATGAGCAGTGAGTCTGAGGATGCTCAGTGAACAGGGAACCGATCTGAACCATGACAAGAATCTCTGGAAATGCCCGCATTATGTAACAGCAGGTACATGATGCTGCACATGATGACGTCCCCAGTGGGGGCGACCCTGCGTCTCTGAGGAAGCCCACAAGTGCTCAGCAGCCCTGAGGGAGCAGCAGAATGAGTGCTATTGCAGGAAGGCTGCCAGAGGACGGGATCTTCCCCACTGTGTAGCTTCACAGCTTCATGTCCCCTATCTGGAGTTGCCAGGCCCCTGAACTCTCTGTTTCTAAGGGCAGGGCTCTCAGTACTCTTGTCTCTGGCCACTTGGTACCAGACCAAATCTGCACAGGTCCTAGGGCCCTGTGTAGAACCTCCCTGAGTACACCTTAAAATCAGGCTTTATCCTGTTATCATAAAGCTTCTTACAAAGGAGGCAACCCATCCTACCTCAGAAGAACAAGGCTACAGGCTCATTACCACAGATCAAAATTCAGTATTTGCTCCCACTTTTGTCACCGAACATTTTTTTTTTTTTTTTTGGTACCGGGGATCGAACTCGGGCCCTCGTGCTTGCAAAGCAGGCGGCGAAACCACTGAGCTAAATCCCCAGCCCTGCTCCCACTTCTGAATCAGCTATTGAGTCATCATTCCTAGTCCCCCGCTCCCTTTCCATCCCCAAATAACATAACACCCTCTACTTCCATGCCCAAAGTCCGAGCCTTCATTTTTTTTTTTTTTTTTTTTTTTTTGCCCACCTCAGCTCCAAGTAATAACCTGAACTTTACATCGCCAAATGATGGCAGAAACATCTGTGGACTGCCTCAAAAACAGCTGTGGGAGCCGGGGGTTTAGCTCAGTGGTGCCACTGCCTGCCTTGCAAGTGCAAGGTCCTTAGTTCAATCCCCTGTACCAAAAACAAAACAAAACAAAACCCCCACAAAAACAGCTGCGGGTGCCCAGGCTTGGCCCGCTATTCCAAAAGGTCAGCCACTCCCGCCTCCACTGACTGCCACGTTCTCTCTCAGCATCACTTTTGGACAAATTATCCCTTACTCTCACTTTGTCATAAGCCTCTGAGCGATTTTCATTCCCTATTTATATCCTGAAGGAGAATGACAGCATTCACCTGAAGAATACTCTCAGGTCCTCCAGGGATACTTCTGAACCTTCGGCCTTCAGACAGCAAACGGGAGACAGGACAAAAGGTGGAGCTTCCCCCTCTGTACCTGTTCACAACATCTGTGCCTGCCTTTCTTAGAGAAGTGTCAGACTTCCAAGAAGCCCTCTGGTTAGTTCCCTTTTCCTCCTTTCCTGTCCACCCCCCTGCAGCATCAACTTCCTGCCACCCACTGCTGAGGTCAACGTGGGCAGAAATCTGTGAACTTGGGAGCTGAGCCCTAACTAGAAAAGCCACAAGCCCTCCCTCCTGTGCTGTGGTCTGGCTTGGAGATATGCTGCGAGTGGGGGCCTGGGGCCCAGGCCCTTATCGGTGCCGGGGAGGACAGCTGGTGACCTGCACTGTCCACACGCTACCGATTTAGTCCTCCCGCTGACCCAGGAAACAGGCTGTCCCCGCTCAGAAGGTGGGGCTGTGACTGGGAGGCCAAGCTCGCACTGCTCCAAAGTGGGAGGAAATCGGGCCCATGCAGCTTGAGAGGCCCACGCTCTGCACTGCTCACTAACAGCTTCCGTCTTGACTGACTCTAGATGCTGAGCTGTGGGTACTGAATCCCTCCTGTCTCCACACAGTGTGGTTCACATGAAATGCCTTAACTTTTTAAATCTAGGTTATAATCCAAAGATTACCAATTTGGGCAGACTTTAAAACTTTGCTGTGTGAAAACACTCTAGCGTTAAGTACAGAACAGTACTGATTACCTGGGGTTACGGTTAGCTGAAAGCAGTGCAGCTTGTTTGGATCGGGAAAATGCACTTTACACGTACCTGCAAAAGAAACAGCACATCAGCAGGCTGGCGGCAGCGGTCTGCAAGCACCAGTGACACACAGGTGCCCACGTGGCTGCAACAGAAGCTGCCGGCAGATGCAACTGTCAGGCCAGACCAGGGCCTTCCCATTTGTGTGTGTCTCTCTCTCTTGCTCTCTCTTTCTCTCTCTGGTGTTTCACGAATTAACCCCACAACAAGACACTCTCCTTCAACCTTTAAGTAGTCACTAAAGCAATCCCTCCCACTCACTTCAAGGGCTCTGCCCTGTATTCTGAAAGAAGAAATCACGCCCTCAGGCAGACGTGCCCTGCAAGCACATCTTCGCCCTGCTGGCCCGGACGCACTGTTCGGGGTGGGGTGGAGGGGCCCTGGTCCCACACCACAGGGGCGGCTGCCACAGCCACACCTGCTCTCCACCCTATCTATAAATTCAGACTCTTCAATTCACCTACTATTTTGAGACAAGGTCTTGCTGCATAGCTCGTGCTGGTTTGGAACTCACCAGGTAGCCCAGACTGGCTGGGATTACAGGTGTGCTCCACCATGCCCAGCTTACTGACTATTTCTAAGTTCCACTGAAAATATTTGCTCAGTCTTACAATGAGAAAAAATTTCAACATGATTAGGATAATCCAAATACTGAGTCAGAAGCACCTCGGAGACCATCCAATCCCACACCCTGACAAGGGTGGCTGACGGGAGGGCTGCCAAGGCTCACTGGCACTTGAGGCCAGGGCCCCAGGCAGCACCCAACTCACAGCTGCCCTCCCAAGGCCGCACTTCTGCCTGGCATTCAGTGTCGTGCGGACACAGGACACGAGACGTGTGAGTTAGAACAAGCCAGCACTGGGGGAGGCTTCTTTTCCAGGGGGACAGATAACTCAGTCTAGAGGGACAACAGCAGTCTTAGAGGATACACTACCATCTTCCCTACTTTAGAAGGAAAGAAATTTGTGGCTAACAAGTTCAGGACTTGCCCCAAACCACACATTTACAACTGTGTATGCAGCCGGGTATGGTGGCACATGCCCGTTTTCCCAGCACTTTGGGAGGGTGAGGCAGGAGGATCGCCAAGTCCAATCCCAGCCTGGACAACTCAGCGAGACTCTCTCAAAATGAAAAATTTAAAAAGGGCTGAGAAGGATCTAGCCCAGTGCAAAGACCTTAGGTTCATTCCCCAGTGCCACCTCCCACCAAAAACCCCCAAACTGTGCATGGAGAACTACATATGGGCTCCATTTCCATCACCTGCATTTGGAAAATGTAAATGTCATATATCTCTGAGATACACATAAGAAAATCAGATGAGGAAGGCTTGGGAAGTCTCTCGACAAGGTGAGGCTGGTGCAGTCACCTGCTACTGAAGGCTACTTCTCTCCTTGGTGTCTCCTAATAAGAGGCACATGTGGAAGCCAATCCCTCTGAAAGAGACTGGCCCCCCAAGGTGGACTACAAATAATCAGACTCCAGAAAAACTCCAAAAGTTTTAAAGTTTAAGAATAGATAAACTCTAAAAAACAAACGGTAAAAGTCAGGTTTTTGTTATAGTTCGATGCAGGAGCTTTATCAAAACTCCAGGAATAAGCTTTTCTTCCCCTGTGTATAGACAGGTGCTATCTCAAACCCTAACGATATTTCAGTCTATCTGAAAGAGACATTTTTTACTTTTTGCCAAGAAGCTTCTATGCACTTGCATGTACAGAACTTCCTCCTAGCTCAGGATAATTATTAAACAACACAGCCACAAGGCAAGTTATTTTGTCTTGGTAAATATTTTAGAAAGACTGCTAAGCAGATAGTAAATATTTAGTCTCTGGTGGCTTGTTTCCTGTAGAATAAGGAACTTCAGACTTTTAGAAAACACATCTGACCTTATAAGCTAATTTAGATTTCCTACCTCTTTGGGGGAGAGGACAGGGAGAAGGAACAAAGAGAAACGTTAGCATACTGTCTTTCATCTGACACCTAAGACACAGGGATAGGAAGATGAGCCATGTCTTTTTCAATCCTAATCTGTTTAGTTAAAATCCCAACTTTAAAGCCACTCGTGAAGTTGTTGTTTTGTGCTAGTGGGGACTGAACCCTGGGCCCCTGCACTGGCTCTATCTCCAGACAGGCTCTTGCCAAATCACTAAACTGCCCGGGGTGGGCTTGAACGTTAGCTCTGCTTGCCTCAGCCTCCCACAGGGCTGGGATTACAGGTGTGCATTACAACACCTAGTTTCCAGTTCTGTGTTTTTAAACCACACTCTATGGGTAAAAAACCAAACAATCTCTGGAAGATTCACGTTCCAGAACAAAACAAACCACCGTAAGGGAGAAGAGCCCACAACCTTTAATTCGAGATGCACATTTACACACGTTCAAGCCAGGAGCTGGTGGGGAGACGCCCCTTGGTGGCCAGCAGAAGGGCTGCTCTCTTTTCCTTTCTATTAGGGACTCATCCTAAAAGACACCAGCAGAGAGAAGTGCAGCGAACCTGCCACCAGAGTCAGGATTTGCCAGTCTCGCTTTGTCTATCCTACCCCCGCCCCAGTCACTCATTTTAAAGCATATCATTTCACCTGTGAACACTTCAGTGGGTAGAAATTTAACCCCTGATTTAGGAGACTCCCAAGGCAATACCTTCAGCTCTGAGTTACAGAGAGGACATTGAGGGCAAGCAATCCAGGGACTTCCAGGCCATTCTGACCGAGACTCATGGTAAGAAACACGCTTTCTATCACAACCCACTCTTCCCACACAGAATAGTTTTCCAAGGAACATGTACTTACCCTCACAGAGCGACTGACTTCATGGTGCTCAGGAGCTGCAGCCCCTTACCTTCCCACCCTCAGCAGCAGTGGAACTGCATACCAAAATGCACGTCCTCCAGCCCTCATCCGCGCCCGGGAGCACCGACAGTTCGCCACATCCAGATACCCTCAGCCTCTGAGCTACTTCTAAACCAAGCAGGATTATAAAAAGTTCTAGCACGATACAGCCAGTTTTCAGACTTTGGTGGCCTTAAGAAATAGTTTGCGAGAGGATGAGTGGCAGAAAAAAGACTCTGACACCTATGATATAAGTGCATGGCCTAGTAAGGGCCTCCCACGTGAGGCTGCAGTTGGGCGGGTGGGGGTCTGGGGTCTGGGGCCTGGGGCGGCACAGACCAGGCCAGGTGACCCTTGACTCCGGATGGAGGTCACGCCATCAGCCCACCTCAGACACGTGTGCTTTCTGGACCAAAGTGGCAGCACTGTCAGGAACAAAACCAGGACCATCTTTTAGTGATTCCTACACCTTTTAACTCAAAGAAGACAGGGGCAGAGCACATGTGGAAGAGGTCTGAAGCCTGCACACACCTCTGCATTCTGCACACGACACCCAGAGACCCTGCAGAGTCCTATTCTCATTATGTCCTCCAAAAATTCTTTGTACACAAAATAAAAAATTTCTAACACTAAAAATAAAATAGGTTTTTGCTATGAAGGTCATTAAAACATAACACAAGCTTTTTTCATACAATTACCTTACAGTACTTAATTGTGACTAAGGAGGCTATACTTACAAGGTAAATTAGCTTCAAGTTCTGCAACCTCTGTAAAAACAAAGAAATTATGGTTAATATTACTTTTCATAACATTACCAGTTCTAAATTACCAATCTCTTCTCAGATACAGAGGAAAAAAGTAAACTGGATGAAACAAAACCCGACCTGGATTTACACTTCAATCCAGTGATGGGGAAGCTTTTAGCGCTTTCAGTGACACAAACAGCCTGCTGCGGCACGCGTGCCATAGGTTCGCCACTGCTGCTAACCCATTAGCTGTTCTCAAATGCACACGGTGAAGTGCAGAATGCCAACAAATACAACTCAATATAGGGGTTTGAAGGCTTAAACATAAAACCCGAAGCTGTAAGACCCCTGGAGAAAAACTATACATGGAGTAAGTTCTTTGACTTGACCTTAGCAATGATCTTTTGGATATCATGCCCAAAGCTTGGGCAACAATAACAAAGTGAAAATAAGTAAGTGGGATTATTAAACTGAAAGGCTGCATGGGGAAAGAGAAGCCTACAGATTGGGGGAAAACATTTGTGTGTCACACATCTGGTAAGGGATTAATATCAAAAACATAAAAGGAACTCATACAACTCAATGGCAAAAAGCAACCTGAATATAGGCAATGGACCTGAACAGACATGTGTCCAAAAAGACATAAAGCAACCAACAGGTTTACGAAAACGTCTCAGTATCACCAAGCATCAGGGAAGCAAGGAACAAAATCGAAGTCTCACTATCTCCTCACACCTACCAGGGTGGCCATGGTAACAGGAGGGTGTGGAGAAAAGTGAACCTTTGTAAGCTACTGCTGTGAATGTAAATTAGTACAACCATCGTGGAAACCAGTGTGGACGTTCTGTAAAAACCACACAGTGGAACCACCACACCATCCGGCAATCCCCTCTCTGCGTATGTACTCAAAGGAAATGAAATCAGCACCTCACAGAGAGCTCAGCACTCCTTGCAGAGCTATTCACAACAGCCAAATAGGAAGCAAGCACCACGTCTATTGGTGGATGGACGGACGGAGATGTGGTAGAAACAGAAACATTATTCAGTCTTAATGAAGGAGCTCCTGCCTTCTGTGACAACGGGATGAACCCCAAGGACATTCCGCGAAGTGAAATAAGTCTGTATTGAAAGAAGTACTCTGCACGATGACACAAACACATGGAAGCCAACAGTCCATTACGCAGAAACAGAATATGACATGGCAACCAGGGACCCGGGACAGGAGAGTGCAGTGGGAGCTGGGCAGATGGTGGTCAGAGCACAGCAAGAAGCAATTCCATAGGGTGCATGGTCCAAAGATCCACCGTGGCCATGTGCGGAGAGGGAGACAAACTTGCAATCAGTCATTATGGACAAATCTATCAAAGCACTGGGTTATATGGCTGAATAAATTAATTACAAGCTGGGCGTGGTGGTGCACGCCTGCAATCCCAGCACTCAGGAGGCTGAGGCAGGAAGATTGCCAAGAGTTCAAGGCCAGCATGGGCTACATGGTGAGTTCAAAGCTACCCTGAACTACATAGCGAGACCCTGTCTCAAAAATTTAAAAATAAATACTAATAAAATTAATTACAAATAAAAAGGCTGTAGTCTGGCAAGGTGGATCAGGGCACATGCCCCCAGTGAACAGGCCAGCAAAGTCCTCTGTACCTCCAGCCGGAACAATGTGGGTCCTGGGGCAGGGAGATTCCCCTAGCTGGAGGCCAGGTGGAGGCTTCTGAGCCAGGCTTAACAGACTCCAGTCCACCAGAGGTGGGAAAAGACAGTATCCTACACAGGTTAGTCAGCATTGTGCAAAAGCAGAGACAGAAGAGCACAGAAACCAGAAGGTATTGGTGTGAGCAGAGCAACAGTCCAAACACCATGGCAGAAAACGGGACGAAGCAGGAAGATACGGGGAGATCAGGAAGGAGTCCACAGGGACTTCTTGACAAAGGTCCCTAAGCTTGGCCTCAAGAGGACAAATGCTGGGCAACAGACACCAGCCGAGGCAGAAATGCTGGGGCCACAGCACACTCAGACTGCTGGTCTGGCACCTGCAGGGGACCCATCTGAGAGCACCAGAAGGAGGAGCTTGAAGTCTGCTGCACGGTCAGGGCCAGGGCCAGGAGCCCCTCTCAGTGAGGCCACCTGTCATCAGAAGAACAGTGAAGAATGAAGAAGCTGTGGTACAAACAGAACTTTATTCAATCTTAATAAAGGAGATGCTGTTATTTGTGACAAGGGTGATGAACCTCAAAGGTATTTTGCCCCAGGACCTCATGATAGACAGGAAAAGAACCTCAGCAGAAAGCAGAGAATAAGAAGGCAGTCAGGGTGAGAAACAGCTGAAACAGCCACTGGGTACATGGTGTTCAGCGAAAGAGGACAGAAGGTCTCCAGGGAAGCACCCCCAAGAAAGGCCATCAGAGGCCACCAGACCCTGTGGGGGCTCCTGGACAGCAGGGATGCAAGAGGAGAGACAGAGGAGGGCTGCAGGGGGCAGAAGCCACTGTGTGCTCTCCTCAAGGAGAGGTGAGGAGTGGCTGCCGAGGCCAAAGTCCCTGAAGCGGCACCCTGAGTGCTGGAGGGAGAGGGGAGCCTGGGCTCAAGGTGCTGGAGCTCCTAGCCCCTCCTATGAGACATGCGCATGAAGCGGCTATACCTCTGGGAGACAGTGGGCCGTTCAGTGCATCTTCTCTAGGCCCCGGGGCTTGGGTGTGCACCCAGCCAGGTGGACAGGAGGGGAGCAAGGGCCTGCACTGTCTCAGCTCCCAGCCCCAGGGTGCTGAGGCTCTACCGGAGTCCCTGGGCACGGAGAAGGAGCAGTCTCTCCCGCAGAGGACGAAGGCTGAAGGGGAGAACCAGGATCACCCTCTTTGAGGCTGTGACAGAGTGCCAGCCTGGAGTCTGTCCATCCTCCTGGCAGGCGTGTGTTGCAACACATTAAAAAATATTCATTTACCGAAACAGAGGACAGTGAGCCTGTCCAGGGTTTGCTGCCTTAATGCTCTCAATGACCGCACTGACCCAAGCTCCAGGCGGCTGTTCTCGCCCTCAGGAGGACAGGCAGAAGGTGGAGGCAGAGAGCAGTGGGTCCTTCCGCTCACCGCCTCTCATTAAGTGTTACCCACATAGCCAAACCCCACTTTACAGCAGATGCCCGCATAGTTTTATTCCACTGTTGTGTGTATTTCTGTTGATAAGAATATACGAGAGGGCCCTTCTGTGGAGAAACTGATGTTGGCCCAGGTGCCCAGCTTCTGCTCTGCGGCAAAGGCCCAGCCCACTCGGCCGAGGGCCATTCTGTTCCCAGTCGGGGGAAGGCCTGGTGTACAGCTTTGCCTAGCAAAACTGAAAACGTGCACAAAGGAATTTCGAGTGGAAAGGACGTGAAGGGAGCGAAAGCATCAGGAGGCAGTGTGGTGTGCCAACGATGGGGACAGTGAGACCTGGGCACCAGGACAGTGAGGCCACGGACTGTAGCAGAGGCTGCGACACCGTGGGGTGGGAGGAGCCGAGCAAGTGTCTCCATCCGAGAGCAGCAGGCTGGGCCCTGGCCTGCAGGGACAAGGGAGGGATGGAGGACGCTGCACGGGGAGCAGGGATTTCCAGGCCAGGTAGCATCAATCAATGGGCATAATTTGATTTTTCTCAACAGCTTTAATTAGCAATAACTTACATAATATAAAATAGGGCTATTTTTAACCATATGATTCGATGATTTTTAGTAAATTTTGGAGTTGTCTCCATCTCCACAAGCCAGTAGCTGCAGAGCCTGTAAACACTAACCCACACCATTTACATCTGAGTTTCCAGGCAGGGCCAAGGCCTCTGAATTCTCCTTATTTCCTCCCAGTATCTCAGTGCGTTTGGCCAGCTGGAACAAAGGCATCGTACACACAGCAGGCACTTTCTCCCCACCGTTCTAGAGGCCAAGAACCCCATGCCAGACACCAGCAGACTCAGACAGCGTCCAGGGAAGAACTGCTTCCTGCTGTGTCCTTGTACGCCGGGAGAGGCAAAGGCGTGCTCTGGGGTCTCTTTCATAAGAAAACCTTCGCAACTAACTGCCTCCCACAGCCTCTTCCCAATTGCGTCACACTAGTGATCAGGTCCCAACCTAAGAACCTGGGGCAACACAAATACTTGGATGACAGCCCCAGGTACGGGACATTGCTACAGACCATTCTGTCATGTAAAATACCCACACGTGGCATCATACAAGCAAATGAATGTAACAAAAAGTTCTGCTTATGTAATGCAAAATGACATTGCATTACAGGCAAGAATGTAAATTCCAAGGGTCAAGGATTTAGCTCAGTGGCAAGGTACCTGCCTCACAAGTACAAGATCCTGAGTTTAATCTCCCATATGAGAGAAAAAAAAAGGATGTAAATTCCAGGGCCAGGTGTGGTGGCGCACACCTGTAGTCCCAGCACTTAGGAAGCTGAGGCGGGAGAATTGCTATGAGTTCCAGGGCAGCCTGGGCTACAGAGTGAGTTTAAGGTCAGCCTAAACGACATAGCCAGACTTTGCCTTAAAAAAAAAAAAGTAAATTCCAAGATAAGTGTTTTGCTTGGATTTGTATGTTCAGTGGAACTCACCACCAGCAGAGAAAAAGGGCTGAGGAAAGCACCTGGCACCTTGCACAATTCTGTGGCTACACAACTTCCTTCTGAGAAACTAGACTCTTTTCCTTTCTAAGGATCAAACCACAGAGCCCACTTGAAGTATGACTCCACTCAAACATCAGATTACAAATTCACCTGGTGGCCAGAGTGGCCCTGTCTTACTTTTCTCCTCTCCGAGACAAAATATCCAATACCCACAAGTTAAAGGAGGAAAGGTTTATTTGGCTCACAGTCTGCAGAGGTTTCAGTCCACAGTCAGCTGGCTCCAAAGCAGGGCAGTAAGGCCAAGGGGCATCACAGAGGAGAACCAGTCCATGGCGTGGCACACAGGAAGAGGTGGAGGCAGGAGCAGCAGCAGCAGTAAGCCTGCCTTCTTTCTGTCCCTTTATATTCCATCCAGGCTACAAGCCTGGTGACTGATGCCACCCACATCCGGGGTTGGGCTTCCTTTAACCAGACCCTTAATCCAAATCCACACACCCTGATCCAGCCACCTTTGAAACTCCCCACCTATGAGTGCACGAGACTTTGGGGAGACACCTAGATCCAAGCCATAACATCCCCACACCACACGCGCTCACCTCCTGCTCCCCTGGCTGTCTCCAACACCTCCCCTGTCCAGGTCTGAGTACCTGCCGCAGGTCTACTAGCCATCACTTGGCACTAGACTTGGCACAGGGGTGCTCAGGAAACACAGCACACTGCCTGCAGGGTGGCAGGGCCCCTGCGGTGAGTGCCCCCTCCTCACACGCTGGGGGCTAGGCACTCCACAGGTTCTGGGGACTGAATCTGAAGCCCTAGCGCACAGCGTGATGGTACTGAGTGGGAACTTTGGGAATAAGGTTTTCCAAGAGGACACTGAGGATGGAGAACATGATACAGCAGTGCCCTCACAGGAAGAACAAAGCCAGGACTCCCTGCCGTGGGAAGACAGGAGCTGGCTATCTGTCGGACAGGAGAGAGCCCTCACCAGGAATCTGATTGTGGACATCCAGCCTTCACAGCTGTGAACAAGCATTTGTGGTTCTGCCCCAGGCTGTGGTACTTTGTTAAAGCAGCCTGCGCTGACCAGGACAAAAGGGCAGTCACAGATGCAGAGGGTTCTTTCTGGCTCAAATCCCCACAAATCCCTGGCCAGAGTGGCTGAGCCCTTCCTCCCAAGCAGAGATTCCTAGGACACCTGCTACTCCCTCCTACCTAAAGCACTGGCTCACAGTTCCTGAACCAGAGCTTTACCTGAGCTTCCTGACAGTCTGTCTGTCCACATAAACAGTCTCCAGTCCTGGCTACTCTGCACTCCCTTCCCCAGAGGCGCCTGAACACACACAGGCATTCATGCTGAGCCTCTCCGGCCAGGACATCCTAGTGCCACTTTTGGGGAAAGGCTGTAACCCCAAAAGGCAGAAGCTGGTATCACTAAGAGGGAACCTCAGGCATCAGGCTGCCTTCTTTCAACCCGCGCCCTTGTCTTGTGCTCCCACGATTCTCCCTGCCACACCAGGCTACGCAGTGCACTGGGGGGGGGGGCGGGGGATCCAAGCACCCCGGGCAGCTCCTCTGGTGTCCACCCCTCCACCAGAGCACACAAAGGTCAACCTCATGGCCAACTGCCCCGCCTCCAAGTTAGCAGGGCCACCTTCAGGAACTCTCCACTTTCATGTGCCACCAAATGCTATGAAGACCCTGGCAATGTGACAAGCCAAACTGTGGTCCAAGCCAGGCACAGTGGTGCCTACCTTTGATCCTAGTGTGAGGCAGGACGGTTGTAAGTCTGAGTCCCAGTTAGGCAACTTAGCAACTTAAAAAGATCCTTTTCTCAAGATACAAAAATGAAAAAGGTCTTGGAAAGAAAGTCAGTGCCAAAGCCCTGGGTTCAAATCTCCAGTACTTCAAGAAACAAAAACAAAAATAAAAATTAACAAATAACAAGCCTGCTCCACCTACCAGGCTGGTTGGATAGAACAGATCTGGGGAGCAGTGAATGCTCCTGCTTTTCCAAGAACAGTCCCTGCACCTGTCCTCGAAGGGACTCGCAAGGTCAGCTCTAAAGGCATCTGTGCTGGAGCTTGGACAGAGCCCTCTTCAGGGAACCTGCACCTTCCGCTAGACCACCAAGTCCACTCCCACTCAGGACCCACACAGGATGTGGGGCTGCCTTCTGCAACACACAGGCTTCCTCACCTCCTGAGCCCAGCTCTCCAGCTGCAGAATAAAGCACCCACCAAAGTGGAAACCAGAATCAGCCCTACAGTGTTGGCGAAGGCTCCAACTACAGGTCAAAATCCTACAAAACTTAACCCCATGGTAGTGGTATTAAAGGTGGGGCCATTGGGAAGTGATCGAGCCCCAGCACCTCCACGAGTGGAGTAGTGCCTTCTGACAGGCTGAGGGACCTGGCTTAGGCTCCTCCTCCCTGTCCTCCTCCTGCCCCTTAAGGACACAGCAACTAGGCGTCATCCTGGAAGGAGAAAGCAAACACCAACCCTTCAGCACCTTCACCTTGAACTTCCCAGCCTGCAGACCATGGGAATAAGTGTATGTTGTTTAGAAATTATCAGCCTGTGGTGTTTTGCACAAACACATGAAGACAGTGCCCACAGAGGGCTGGCTCTGTGCTCCAGTGCTGCTATCCCCCATCATGATGGCGCGTGAAGAAGACAGGAGTCTACTGGTCAGCTCCTCCTGCTCCTCCTCAGAGGATACCTGCTCCCTCACCTCTCAAGTCCTGCAACAGTACACTCAAGTCCCTCTGCCTGGCTTGCTGAGCTCCAGGCAAAATCCAAGAAAAGGATTTAGGTCCTGTCAGGCTCGCCCCATCGAGGTGCTCCAGCCCATCCCCAGCTTCTGACCCCCAGAGGGTGCTCACCATGGGGACAGAGGACAAACTACCTCCTGGGCCTTTTTTCAAGCATAAGCCCGAGAGGCAGCAGCGACTTGGGCACTGTTTGCTGAGTACCCAACGACCCTTCACTCGAGCCTACAGAGGCTAATAGATAGCTACAGGCAAGACAAAGCTTGACCTTCACAGACACAGGCGGCAAAGTGACTACTACGGCCCTAAGACAGAATTCATGTACTAATTCTGTGCCAAGAAGTTGTGCGCAACACTCACCGCAGGCTCTGCCCTGCACGTAACAGGAGAGGATGCTAAGATGCCCAGCTCAACCTGGGGCAATGGCAGCTGCCCCTAAGCCTCATTCTTTCCGGATCTGCCAGCAGACATGCCTGTGCCAGTTTCGAGTACCACAGCACCATGTCCTTGCCACTACAATCCTGTCATCTACAGTGTACAAGTCCTCCCCATGTAAGCGACAGAGGATTAGACTCCGAAATCTCTCCAAACAAGTACTTCCAATCAGCAACAGCAGCTTGATACCCAGCACAGCTTCAGGCCAGCTTCGTTTTGTTACAGGTCCTCTAATCTAGGACATAAAAATAGCTCACACGGTCATGATTACCTTTAACAAGCAACTTGTCTCTCACAGAAACCCTCCGCGTGGAGTCCGCCGAGGCGGCCGCTGTCCGGGACCCTTTGAGACCGTCATCCCGCTTCAGTTTGCTTGCCAGTGTTAGCATCACTGCCACCTTTACGCTGAAAGACAGGGGCGAGAGCAGGCTAAGAACCATGGCTCTTGACAAGGACTGCATGCTGAAGAAAAAAACGACAGGCTTTTTTCCCCCTCTAAAATTTAGTTAAAGTTCATATCCACTAATAAGACCAGATCCCTTCATAGTGAATATGGCTAAGTCCTGGGCCATCTTTTAAGGTATTCATTACAATGTCCTGATAAGGAAGCCATGCCTTGGACATGCCCCGGACATGCACTGGGGCCTGGCGCTGGGTCTGTGTCCGGCACAGTCCAGGGATCTGCTGTGGCCTACAACTGGGTGTCCCCTGGGGCTCCAGATGCTCAGAGGTGTGGCTCTGCAGACTCGATCATGGGGTGCCTTAGCAGACTTCCTGTTAGGAGGCGGGCCTGGCTGGAGCAGTGGCTTACCAGGGCTGGGACCTGGAAGGGCTCCTCTCCCTCCACAGCTCCTCAGAAGCCCTGCCGTGAGCAGCTTCCTCTCTATGCCCCTCTGCCATGCCATCCTGGCCTGGAGCCAGATAAGCCTCTCCTTCCTGAAGCTGTGGGTGTCAGGTATGGTGTCTCAGCAACAAAGAAAGTAACTAAGACAGAAGGCTCCACAGCTTCTCAACCAGTAGGTGTCCACTGTCCACTGTGAGTCCGTCCACCCCTGCGGCCGGAGCCACCTGTCAGGAACAGCAGGGCACCTCCAGGACAGGAGGGCACCAGCGCCTTGCTTCCCTTCAACAAAGGTGAGGGCAGAACCTTTGCATTAGTCTATTTTATTTTATTTACATTTTTGGCAATAGCAGTATCAAGACTAAACTATAATTAATGACCCAAACTCCATCCTCTTCAACAGCTCCTTTCAGCCCATGCTGTTTCAGGGTCCCCCAAGGAAAGCTCCCTAAGGAGCACAGGAAAGACCAGACACAGGCGATGCCCTGGCTGCACAGAAGAAGGGCAAGAGAAACGGCACTGATTCTTTTTAAAACTGTATGTGAGGCCAGGCATGGTGGTGCACTTGGGAGGCTGGGGCAGGAGAATCATCAAAGTTCGAGGCCAGCCTGGGCTACACAGTGAGTTCAAGGACAGCCTGAACGGCCTAGCAAGACCCTGTCCCCCAAAAAACAACAAATAACAAAAAAAACTGTGTAGCAGTTTTAGGCTCGCAGTAGTATGGGGCTCAAGGCACAGAGACTCCCTGTACCCCTTCCCCCTTCCTCAGGATTGATGCCCTCCACCTGAACGGCTCACTAGTCACCATGGAGGAGCTACACTGAGGCAGGGCCAGCGATTACAGGAGGGAGCCGCCCATTCTGATGGGGAGGAGATCTCAGGAAGCTGCCTTGTTTCTAGCACCAGCTTCCACTCATACTCCTACTTTACTCTGGAACTTTTGTTGACTAAGGATGAAAACTGCTCACTAGCATTTCCATAATTTCCTTATTTTAATACCATTTCCTTTCAATACCACTCTGGTATTTTAATAGAAAATGACCAAAACTTCCCAGATGAAACGTGACCTAATCACAGACCTGTGGTTTGAGGCAAAGACCCTGAAAGCCAAAACATGAGAATACACTTCTCCTCGCTGGTCTCTCAGACCATTTTTAGCCCAAATCTCTTTCTCGCTTCTCACAGCAGCCTCTGTGTAAACCGTGAAGACTGTCAGGCTTCATTTTCTATCCTCTCTATCATGAAAACAATACACTGAATAAGAGGTGAACTGTCCACTGCTGTACTAAGGACTCGGAAACACGCACCGAGGTCCCCTTAACCTTGGGCCCCACTGTTGCTCGACTCAGTAGCACGGAGATGCGCTTACCTGCAAATCTGGGAAGGACTTCTCCCCACTCCGCCCCACTTTACCATGTGGACCCTGGGACGATGGGCCCAGAGGGTGGGCTGTCCTAGGAGCAGTCACCACCTAAGCACTCAGGATGGATCCTGAGTACGGCCATGGGTCAGAGGTAGAAATCAAGGTTGGGACTGACCGGTCACCGTTTTAAATATGGACAGTTGAGTGAGCTTCAATTATACCTCAACACAGTTCACAAAAATGAGAAAACGAAAATCAAGCCTGACACTAGCTCCTTCAGTCCCACTCCACACGCCCTTTCCTTGGGGGACCTACTGATACTCAGCCCCCAGTGTGCCCACACACTTCACGGCTTCATCCAGGGCCAGAAACTTCCTTCAGCGGGTGCAATCGCTTCACAAGGGAAGGCGGGACACCGGGGGGCTTCAGCCCACAAGTTACCAAGCAGACCCCATTAGAGTCAACCTCTCCATCTCTGCCCCCACCCGGAATGATCTCATCAGGAAACTCTCAAGCAGATGTGGATCACAGAGCAGTGCCTGCCACCCTGGCAACACCCACTGCCACGTGCCCAGACTTGCGCACATCAGTCCTGCAACCCATAAGGGCCGCCTGATAATAAACCAGCTGGAGCCACCAGATGCTCCACACAAAGGCTACCAGGTATGCATCCTCTGGCTGCCTTCAGTGGTGCAGATGGAGCAAAAAGCAAAAATAAAAGTACAGAGTGTGAAAGAATTACAAAAAGCGCTGTGGTCAAGCCAGCCCAGGCCACACGTGTGCTCTGGCTCCTGAAGACCTGCACTGCGGGGCCACTCAGAGCAGCCTGCCAGGGTTGCTCACTGGGGAAAGGCGCCACCAAGAGACTCCCACCGCGCTGCACGCTGCAGCTGTGCTCATAGCTTTTGTCTCCTCACCCACACGGGCAACTTCTGTGAAAGAGAATGGGTCCCCTATGGTCAACTCCCCAGAGGGCAGAGTCCTGGCTTACCTTCAACGGATGCATGGCCCTTAGTAAAGCATCAGGCCCACAGACTGACTGTACAAGGTATAAAAGAAAAGACTTACTTCCCTAACATTCTAAGAAATATGAATATGGTGACTATTTCTCTATCTGCATTGTCATCGCACACCACTTCAGGGATAAGCCACGACCTAATTCGGAAATGTTCCTATAGCAGCAGAATTAAATCTATACAAAAGGATTCAAATAAAAATATTCAATTTATCAAGAGGTTAGCTGACCACCTGCAGCTGCTTCAGAATTCTTTCCCTCTTAAATTCGTCTCATTTCTTGAAGATCTGGCTTAAAACTAAACTTCCCCTTTCCTTCAAGCCACACTCCGACTGAGGCAGCATTTCAGGGACAGCTCAGCTAAACAGCATGCTCAGTCTCTAAATTCCACAGGTCATGACTGGCCCAATGAAGTTCCTCCTGTGGTTGGACCTGGTTTCAGACTGCACCAAGAAGAGGATTCTCCGGCTTATTCAGGCTTATTCACCAGTCTCAGCATCAAGTGACGTTGACCCGGCATTCCTGCCTGCAGTAGTGAAATGTGACCATGTCACTTGTGCAGGGACACCAGGGGCCAGCCAGCTCAAGGTGGGCTGACGTCCCCCGCCGCGTTGTCCTGCCCCTGGAGTCCCAATCCGAGCATAACAGAGGGAACTGCAGGACACCGCGGACATCGACTTCCCCAGCCACAGGGCGCAGTTCAGCCCCACCCCGCGATCCTGCAGAACGGTGCCCAGACACCGCCAGTCTAGCTGGCGGCCCGCTTTCGAGTCCAGCCCAGTTTATTTCATTTTCAGCATCACTTTGCTCCCGGGCTCCCCGAAGGACAGGAATGGGGGTCTGTAAGCCCACGTCCCACGATGGTGGCCATCTTTCCTGAATCGCTCTCCACCTCCACACTTCTCTCCCAGCCTGGAAGCCGTGCACCCCGCTCGCTTCTGGAAGCTTCCATTAGCGTGACCGCCGGGCCCGGGGTGCTCGCCCTCCCTCGGTCCCCACCAGCCCTACCCCGTTCTCGGGGGCAGGCCCCACCTGGGCGCACCGTCCCCTCTGGCTGCTCCAGCTCGCCCGACCCCGCTTCGGGCCGGAGGAACGCGCCGCCGGGCGGGCCCGACTGGGCCTGGAACGTGGACAAGCCGCGCAGGGAGGCCGCGCGGGCGGGCTGGGCTGGAGCGGGCTGGGCTGGAGCGGGCTGGGCTGGAGCGGGGCCACATCCCGGGGGCGGGCGGTGACCCTGTGGGACCCTGCCGGCGGCGGCTCCGGGCCGCGGGTCAGCTCGCCGCCCCATGGCCCGGCCTTTCCCACGCGTTCCCGCCCGGCGCCCGGAGCCCGGAGCCCGGAGCCCGGAGCCCGCGGCCTGAGGCGGCCCGAGCACGGCGCCGCGCGCCCCGCCGCCCCTCACCTGGGCTTCCCGAGACAGGGAGGCTAGTGGGCGCCCAACACCGTGCCCCGCCGGGCGGCGGCGGCGGCGGCGAGATGCGGCCCCTCACAGCCGCACCGGCTCCCGGCGGCGGACCGGAAGTGGCGGGGCGGGGACTCGGACGCTTTCAGCGGCAGCGGCTGCTGGCGCTTTAAAAAAAAAATTCAAAGCCGCAGAAAACTTTATTGAGCGCCTGACGCGCAACAGCGGCGTGCGCGGGCCTTGGCGTGGCTGGACCCCGTTGCCTCTCCGACCGTGTTCATTGGTAGAAGGCGAGGCCAGGGACGGACACGAAGCTCACGGCTCGTGGTGATTGGCCAGTAGCGGCAGGGGCGGGGCTCCGTGGATTCCGGACTCCAGTGCCAGGGTGCGCAGGCTCCGCGCCGCGCCACTTCCTCCATTCATTCGACGGTGTGCAGGTCTCCGGCTCCGCGTATCCCGTCCAGGAGCGCTGCCTCGCCAGAACTGATCGCCTCGGCGAGCTAAGCGCCCACGGTGCCCAGCACGGTGCCCGAGTATAAGGAACCGGCGGGCGCGGGCGTTCTGCGGTGCAGGGGCTCCGGGCACGGGCGATCACAAGAGCAGCAGCCACCGGCGCGCTAGGAGTACACTCCCCTGTCCGTCTCGTCCCTTAAGTTTATTTAAAAATCCATTTTCAGCACAAGGACCCGAGTTCGATCCTCGGTACCAAAAAAAAAAAAAAAAAAAAAATCATCCATTTCCAGGGCCGGGGATTTAGCTCAGTGGTTTCGCCACCTGCTGCGCAAGCTCAAGGACCCGAGTTCGATCCCCGGTACCAAAAAAAAAAAAAAAAAATCCATTTCCAGCCGGGCGTGGTGGCGCAATCCTGTAATCCCAGCACTCGGGAGGCTGAGGTAGGAGGATCGCCTCGAGTTCCGAGGCCAGCCTAGACTACATAGCGGGACCCTGTCCCCCCCCCAAAAAAATCTATTTCAAGTTATCCAGCTTCCATTTCGTGGAGCGCACATTTCTCATGTCCATCTGTGGCCCCGTCAGGAAACCTCGGGAGAGGGTCCAGATGCTGAGCCCCCCCTGCCCCCGCAACTGTCCATTCTCTGGTCATGGCCGTGGCCATCAGGACACGACAGTTGAGGGCACAGTGGCTGAGCCCCACCCCTCTGTGGGGTGCCCCCTCTTGCGCCTCCCCAAGGAGCCCTGGGGTCCGACTGTGACGCCCGACCTGGGGGAGCACCGTGCTGGGGACGCTTACAGGGGCGGAGCACGCAGGGGACCATGTAGGCAACGAGCGAGGTGGCGCAGGGCGGGGCCTTCCTGCCTCGGCCTCTCACCCTGGCGCGGTCTTGCGGCTGTGGTGCTGCTGGGGCCGGGGACACAGACTCAAGGTCACCCCTCGGGTCCGCACAGTGGTGGTCCAGAGCCCACCAGTTCCCCAGGACTGTGGCCCACTGTCCCTCTGAGGAGCGGCCGATGCGGGCAGGGCTGGCGCCAGGGGGCGTCCGGGACGGGAAAGAGCGAAGCCCTGGAAGCTCCGGGAGAGGAGGCCTGCAGGGGACAGCGGCTGTCGCCTCCCCGGGGCACCGCCGCGGAGGGCTGTCCCAGACCCCACCCTGCTCACTGCCTGGAGGAGGAGGCTTGGGTCCTGGATTCCAGGTCAAAGCGAGACTGGCCAACAGTCAGGGTTTTCTGTCCCCGCACTGGGGTTTGAACCCAGGGCCTTTGCACTGAGCCACATCCTCAGCTCTTTGTCTTTTATTTTGAGACAGGGTCTTGCTAAATCTCTAAATTGCCCAGGCTAAGCTGGAAATTGCAATCCACCAGAGTGCCAGGATTACAGGTCTGCTCCGCCAGGCCAATAGTTTTTGGTGGAAATGCATAACTCATGAAGGAAAAGACAAATGAATTCGACATCAGATTGTAGTTTCTGTGTGAGAAAATAAACCATCATCCGAGTGGCAGAGCAAGCTGCTGGAGAACTTGCGTCATGCCTGACGTGCCTCGTGTTGGGCACAGGATTTATCCGAGGAGGAGGAGAGCTTCTTAATCAACAAAGGAGAGTGGCACCGCACAGGGGAAAGTTGTGCAAGGGAGCCAGACATGATGGCTGGAGCCAGCCAGACTCTATTAATTAATTAATTGATCCATTCATTAATGCGCTTGAGGACTTCGTAGTTGAGGCCCAGATGGAAACTCAGCTGTGTGGATGTGAGGGTCGTTGGTGGAACTGGAGTCAGACTTGGTCCTCAGGGAGGCAGTGCTCTGGAGCAGCCTGTTAGCAAGGTGGGATCAGGGCTGCCATGGAACGTTGTGCAGGTGTGCAGTGCACCACCCCGGGGCCTCCTTAGCGTCACACATGGGCGGGGACCCGGGCAGCCTTTTGGCCTTAATGTGTATGTCCCATGACTGACTTTTCTGTGCTGGCTGCTGCGAGTCTGACAGGCCCTAGGACACAGGCCTCAGAGATGCCCTTGAAGGAGGCGGCAGAGCCATGGAGGCCCCGACCACACCTGCCTCACCCTCCCTGGAGGGCCTTACCAAGTGCTCCAAGGAGCTGACTGCAGCCACGAACACTCAGGAAGGAACACACCGGACAAGTTGGAAAATAAAACAGACCTTTATTAGTCTGGCCAGACGGCACTCCCAAAGCAAAATAGCTTAGAGAGGCAACTGGCTCAGAGTCCGAGGCTGTTTTATAAGGGTTTGAGGGGGAGGTTAACATGTAGATTTACAAAAAAAGGAACAAAGGTTAGTGGTCGACTGTCATGTACTGATGGTCAGCAGACATACACACTAATGGTCACGGCCGTCACGTACTGATGGTCAGCAGACACACTGATAGATTGTTCTACAGGTAGTGGGCCCGGGAACATTCGTTCTCCGGACAAACAAGGGGTTGAGCAATTTTACTTAGGAACTCTGTTTTGTTACAGATTCTATTATCCCAGAACTAACAAGCACATTTTAACCATTAATTTACAAGTACAATAGAGGCTAGGGGAATAATTGATTTTGGAATCATGCAGTCCCACACTTTCAGTGCTGATGGGGTCCACTAGTGTGCCCCGTGGGAAGCTTGGCTTTCAGTAATGACTCTCTTCTCTGATTGAGGTCTTTTCTTGAGTCAGTGTGGTGGTTTATGCCTTTCTAGGAACTTATCCATTTCAAGTTATCTCTTTGCAAATTAAAATGAAAATTTCCGGCCCTCGGGCCCCGCCCTGCTGCTCGGGGGCGGGCGCGCGTGCTTGAGGGAGGGGGGCGGGTGGGAAGGACCGCCGGCTAGATCCCTAGGTGAGGCTCGCGTGCCCGCCCCCGACCCGGCCCCAGCGCCCACCAGGTCGGCCCGCCCCAGCCATGATCAAGGCGATCCTCATTTTCAACAACCATGGCAAGCCGCGGCTCTCCAAGTTCTACCAGCCCTACAGTGAAGATACACAACAACAAATCATCAGGGAGACTTTCCATTTGGTATCTAAAACAGATGAAAATGTTTGTAATTTCCTAGAAGGAGGATTTTGGTAATCAGTCTTAAGCTGTGTAGTTTACTGTGACCTATGGAGTTAAATCTAATTAATTGGAGGATCTGACAACAAACTGATTTATAGACATTACGCAATACTGTAGTTTGTCTTCTCTGTGGATTCTTCAGAAAGTGAACTTGGCATTTTAGATTTAATTCAAGTGTTCGTGGAAACATTAGACAAATGTTTTGAAAATGTCTGTGAACTGGATTTAATTTTCCATGTAGACAAGGTTCACAATATTCTTGCGGAAATGGTGATGGGGGGATGGTATTGGAGACCAGCATGAATGAAATTGTTACACAAATTGACGCACAAAATAAACTGGAGAAATCTGAGGTGGGCTTAGCAGGAGCTCCAGCCCGTGCTGTATCAGCTGTAAAGAATATGAATCTTCCGGAGATACCAAGGAATATTAACATTGGTGACATCAGTATAAAAGTGCCAAACCTGCTCTCTTTTAAATAAAATATAAAACAGCCACTCCCAAGTAAAATCCAGGGGGAAAAGTCATCTAAGTTTACCATACAGTTGTTTACCAAAAATAGAGGAGGAGAGTCTTAACTTTTGCTCTTGGATTTAAGTCAAGGTACTGTATAGAAGTTGTGT